TGAGTTCACATAAAGCTCTCACGTCCTCACCCCAAGGCAGGGTCTTTCTGGGCAACCTGTGTCCACCCTGGACCAGCCCACACTGAGAGACCCTCATGTTCGTCAAAGCTTTTTAAGTTCTCATGGGCAGAGCTATTACTGACCCCCACGTAAAGTCCACTCATAATATTGGTGACAGCCAATTATTAGGAGTTTTGGAGCCATACAACTGATCAGTCTGGAGTGCAAAGTGCCGACTTTGAACTTGGCAAACCACAGTCCATTGCCTCATCTGGTTGTAATTCCATGGGCTAGACCCCACACCAGATTTTATCTTGGGGACCACTTCCTGTCCCCTCCCCAAAACCATACCTATCTATGGCTTATCACACTAATGACAAGTTTACAAAACTCTCTATCTTTAAGCCTTTGTTTTGAGAATGTGTTCTTTCCCACCAGCATCCCCGTCCCTTTGTCTCCTCGCCGCTTCCCCTCCCCCCACCACGCCCACTGTGTGCTGGCTCATTCCCCGCTGGGGTGGGGGGCGAGCCCAGTGTTGAGAGATACGCGCAGGACTGCTTTGTTCAGCTTTAATGCTGCCCGGTGAGCCATGCGTCCCATGAGCGGCTCCTCCACGTGGTGATTCAGCTCCATGCCCATCGGCTACCGGCCTTGCACCTCTGGGAGCAGCCCCAGTTCTGCATCGGGCCGCCTCCCAGCCCTGCCGCCACCGCAAGCTCACCGCTGCCACCACGGCACCACCTCCGCCTTGTGCATTTCTGTGCGGCATCCCAGCCTCTCCCCCTCCCCGTGCACTATCATCGCCTCTGCCTTGCACGTTTCCAGGGACAGTCCCAGCCACACCCCTGCACGCTGTGTCCCGAAGCTCACCCTGCCCACTCTGCACGTTCCACCTACGCACATGCACCAGACCAGTCCCCTTCTCCAGGCTCAAGTGCGGCTCCGTCTGTCCTGCAGGCAGGCAAAGCAGACAACTCATTATATCGCTAATCTGATGCTGTTTGCATTTTCAGATATAAAGTTCAGATTGTTTCTGCTGCCTTTTTTTGTGTGTGTTCCAGCCATGACAAACATTTTCTTTTAGATCCAGATAATTATAAATTCCTTATGCTGGGAACCACTAGCTCTGTTCCAAGAAAAGGGTTTTGTTGAAAGTCTTAATGTTGTCTGAGAAGCGAGAAAGGTAATTGACTGGTAACTTGAGGCTATATAGTAAGTTATAAAAAGCTCGAGAGGATGCAAATTTTGTCTTGGTTCATAGTACTGCAAATAACAGGTTTGAAAAGAAGTAAATGTGTTCAGAATTTGACAGTATTAGATCAGTTTTGGTAGATTTATTCATAAGATTGGTAAACCTTTACTGCAAAATGTTTCCATTAAAATGAGATTATACTCTAAAAGGAGGAGGGTAGACTAAAGCCTTTTTGCTAAGTATGTAATTCCACACAGTACCCTGGAAAAAAGTGGTGTGCCATCCAGATAAAGCCTGCTCTCTGATCTGGAATGCCAAAACCATATTTAAACAACACCGTAGCTGATCTCTCTCCTAAATAAAAGAGTAAAAATTAATAAACAGGCCATCCTCTAAAAATCAGATGGCATTAGACATTTTAATACCATAAAGAGATACGTATATATATGACATAAATAACATGTCAATTCCTAAAGTTCTCTGGACCTTGTCCTCCTTATGGAAAGTCATTATTAAAGTTATTAATACCCTGTTGACTCTGCATACTTCCTTAATTCTACAGATACCTTCTACTGTAGCCCAGATCTCAAACAAAAAGGCAAAACTTGACCTTCAAACCTTATAGAGATCTTAATATGGCTTTTTATATTTTCAACAACAGACATAACAGTGACACTTGGAGTTCTGAGACAGGTAAACCTACAGGAGGTGGAGCTATTTGCCCCCCCCCCCCATGGACCACGCTCAAATGCAGCAGAAGACATTGGGCAAGAGACTGCCCCATCCTGGTGTTGAGACCTTACTCCAGGGCTACTGGACTGTCCTAGCAAACATCCTAACTTCTAGCCCTCACAGGAAGTGCCAGCACTGCCAGATTCATGGCTGAAACTTGCTGCCAAAGACTGACGGGGCTCAGGGCCAACAGCCCCCTTTATGGGTATCTGTCTCAGAGTCCAAGTCGCACTAAAACTCTCAAGTAAGACATTCTCTATACTTGTGGACATAGAGGCCATATGTACAGAGTTCTTCCTGAGTTTTTAGGCTGCTATCATAAGTCCTCATAAGTACTCTATGACAGAGTATTGGTGGTCAACCTATGCCATTTACAAACAGGGCCTATTTCATACCAGTCCCAGTCCTAAATCTTAAAATGCCTTTTATACAGGCTGACTTAGACACACTGAGACCTCAACAGCTTCCACCTGTTATCGCTAGTAAACCTCTCCTCAGTGATATAAGAACACCTCCTTCCTTTCTTATTCACCAATTTCTCAGGCAACCCTGGTCAAGGCTGATATACATAAAAGCCTTTCCCACAACCAGGGAAACTGATGATATACTTGCTAAAGCTCTGTTACAGCAAATCATTCCAAGGACTACAACCAGGTTACAGCAACCCATACCTACCTGATATTCTTAGCAACCTCAACAGAAATCAAAGTTGCTAGGCTGCCATTCTGGTTTCACATCACTCAGGCCCTAGATCTAACCATCCTGTTGCCTACTCATCTCTGCCTTACCAAGGCCTCATAGCCACGGCTCTCAGGAGGCTGTCAGGTTTTGTCATCCAATTTGGTTTCTAATTTCTTATTCTTTTACAGCAGGACTCTTAACAGTATTTCCTAAAGACTCCAACGTCATGCATACCAGAGACAAGCCTTACCTACCTACCCTTTTAACTTTTACCCTTTCAGATGGGGGAGTAAGCACCTCTCATAACTTCACTCCTCATAACCCCACATTTAACTTTCAGAATTCTGCCTTACCATGGAAATGTTTCTACTTCAACATCCTAATATAATGACATGTCTAAATCAAAGAAACCTTTCCCTTTACCTCACCTGAGTCCTTAAATATGACAGTGCCATGTCTCCTCATAACACCTTGTCTCTTTGTTTTTCCAGTCTAACATATATGCATTCACCAGTGAAGTTGTCCTGGCTAAAACACCTGGCACCAGCGTCTACCTGGGCATCAACCGTCATCCCATCGATTCCCCTAGACCCCAGGACAGTGCCCTCTGCCAGCAGGAATCAGTTAAAGAGAGAAATCTTCGCCCCTTTTCATAATAATCATAAGACGGGATATGAAAGGGTTTGGGCCCAGACAGGACACTGTAGCCGGTAAAGCCAAAGAGCTCCTATTTCCCCCACCCTTAGGAATTTACCTATGGCACCAAACAAAGACCAATGGGCTACCTGTGATTCCCTAATGCCCCCTTAGGTTCCACCCCAAACTGAGGCTACTTATGTGCCTCACTCCACATGTTCTGTGGAGAGATTGCTGACCCCGGGGTGGAGATGTCAAGCCCCGGGAGATCAGGGGTTTCTCTCTCCACATTCTCAAAATAAAGGTCATTTATATTTCACACTTCTCATCTTTTCAACTGCTGCCGATCCCCCACAGTTCTATCATAAATGACCTTTATTTTTTTTTGTCTTTTTCCTTTTAAGAATGCAGGGAGAGATCTCCCAACCCCCTGGCGTCCAGCATCTCCATTGGATACGTGGAGTGGGGGCATACATGTAGCTTAGGTTTGGGGTGGAGCCTGAGGGGGCATTAGGGATGCACAGGTAGCCCATTGGTATTTATTTTGCACCAAGGGTAGATTCCTAGAGGTGGGGAAGATGGAGCTCCTTGGTTCCGCCTGAGGCTTTACTGGCTACAGTGTCCATCTGGGCCATAATCCTTTCACCGGTATCCTGCTCTGAAGTTCTGTACCAATTTCATGGCATTGTCTTGTCTGGCTTAGTTCTGTCTTGTTTTGTTGTATTTTATTATCTTTAAAATAAAATTTTACAAAATGTAAAAAAAAAAAAAAAAAAAAAAAAAATTCTCAACTGGTATTATACCCCTGCATTTCCTCCAGAGGGAGCACAACTTTCATGTATGAAGCCAGGCTTCTTTGTAAAGGGAAAATCAGTGTATACTTTCATAAATTTTCAAAGATTGTCCACTCCTTAATTTTACAGAAAAGAATGCTCTGTCCCAAATAAGTCACATATGTCATCGCCCACTAGGTACCAGTACTGATATTTTCTATTAGACTGCACTCCATAGAACAGAACACCATTCTTTCTGCTCATTTCTAACACAATATTATTTTCAAGAGCATAGTTGGGTGAAAGTAAGAATAAACTTAAAAAGTGAATCTATATCCAAAACAGGGAGCACTACCCAAAATTACTAATCCTTATTTTTACTTTCTTGCTTTAATATTTTTTACAGTAAATCCATTTGAGAAAAAGGAGGAAAAAAACAAAATTTGGCTTCTCTAATAATAGAAAAGAAGGGTTCCATACAAATTGAACAGACATTAATAGTTAATAGTTATCCACCAAGGCAATGTGAGAATCTTAGGGGCTGTGGCTACAGCTCAGTGGTAGAGCACTTGCTGAGCACAGGAGGGCCCTTGATCAACCCCTGTATTGTCCCCTGAAAGGGAGAGGGCAATCTTAGATAATGTCACACATCTCTCACAGGTTCTCTCCCTTTTAAAAGTATTGGTGGTGGTTATATTCCATGAGGCACATTTCAGCACAGAAACCTTTTGAGCACAACCAGTTTCCTGCTGCTGGATATAGAATTATACAGCTTCTGAAAAACCTTAAACTCAGTCTCACTTCAAAGCTGATTTCTGTGCAAAGTACAAATGGAAGAAAACATCCGCTTCTACCTGACTGGGTTCCCACAGATTGAGGGAAACAAGGATGACCTAGCCAGCTGGGCAGTGGAAAAGATAAACTGAAGAACCTATCACAATTTTAGGACAATAAGGCAGTGGTTCAACAACAAAATGAGATCTTACCTGTGGAACAGTGTCTGAAGCTTTTTTTGGAGTTTCCAAAATAGCAGACTGGGATTCTGGATAGGAAATGAAGCAGACAGTCAACGTTTTAAAAGACAGAGAAGAAAAAACAATTTTCCCCCATCAAAAAATAAAACTTTTGGTAAAATATATTTTTACAAGTACCAAAAATATCCAGTTGCTTCCAATTATGACACTAATAGATTATGAGAATATAAAAACTTTTTAGGAAGTAACAATCATACAATGATACTTTTAAAAACTAAAGTCCTAGTCTCTTTGCACATTAACATGGCTATTTTTCTCAACTGCTAATTTTTATACTGTGTCAGGAAATCCTAACAATAATGGAAGCCACCTTGGGCTTGAAGGATGGCATCTCACAAGCCTTCTGTAAACTAGTGACAAATTATCTCTGGTTTCCATGAGAGGGAAGGAATATTGCTACCGACAGAACCTGAGTGACAAAGCACTTTGCTCCTTCCATGTTTTGTCGCTTGAGACTCTGTGAGATTTCAAATGCATCATGTGGAACCCCTAAGGGATAATCAAGTCTGGGATTTTTGTTTGAACTGGAGATAACTTCTCCTAAATGAAATTTGCATGCAAGTTCAAAAAAATAAAAATAAAAAACTTTCAAGAGCTCCCAGAGTTCTGTGGATCAGAGTGCAAAAACCAGTAATTTTCATCCCTCCTCAGCACTGTAAGTCACAAGCCCCAGGTCCACAGCACAGCTGGTGGCTTAGGTCTCCTAACTGTCACATTCTTCCCCTTAACTGCCTGGCCTGCAGACCAGACCACAGAGACAAGACGCAACGTTACCCACCATGATCACAGCAACAGTCACAATTCAGACACACAGGAGCTGCCACTGTGCGACAGAAAAATACAAGGCATTTGCTAAATAAATAGCACAAGACTGCGAAGCTACATCACTGCTCTCAAATGAGTGTCAGTCTCAGCAAGACCTTCGAGCAGTGTTTTCCACCCACACTTCCTAATCAACCGCCTCCACCTCTCTCCACTTGCCCACTGTGCTCAGCCACCCTGGCCAGCTTGCTGGAGAGCCAGGGCCTCTCTGAGGGGCCTCCAAGGTCACAGTGGCTGCTGTTCCTGCCCAGAATGCTCCTTCTTCCCCGGTATCCTCAGGTCCTCTTCCTCAGCTCTACCTTCTCTCTTATGCTGACAAATCTATAGTTTGAACTGACATCAGGATTTAACAAAGTCAAATCTGAATGAAGATCTTGGGCATGAAGCCAGTCAGCACCTAATAATGAAGTAGCACTCCTGTTTTCTGGCATTCTTTATTTCCAAATCCTTTCCGCTACACACTCAAGCCCACTCCTGACTTTGTTCGCGTGTAGGAAAGTTTCTTTCCTTCATGTTTGTATTTATATAGTGCAGTAGGAGTGCAGAGGAACTCCTAATAGTGTTCTAATAGTTCATTTCATTAGAAATGCTTCCCAAATTTTTTCTATACTCCTTGATCTGGTGGCCCATATTTTTTTTTAAAAAAATCCTGTTTACTAGAAAGATTGGGGCTAAATTTCTGAACACCTATGCCCATTTCTCCATTTCCATTAACTTAGAAGGTATGATCAAAAAATACAGTGAAAAAAAATATTGTAGCAAAAGATATACTGCTGTTAACGTTTACTAAAGGTCTTTCCTTCACTTCAGAAATACTTTATCCCATCGTTCCTGCCACCTTCTGCAGGAATCCTGGAAGTTCTCTTTCACAGGTGTCTTTGGTTGCACTGCTCCTTCAATGCCCTCAATCAATCAAAATGCCCTCATCTTATGGTCGTTTTGACCTTAGGGAATAAGCCAGAAGCCCCATAATGCTAGATCCAGTAGACAAGGTGGATGAGGGTGCACCAGAATGTTTTCCCAAGGCCGCCTTTCTGTGGGATGGCACCCGGGAGCAGGGTTCACAGTCTTCTCAACCACACCTTGTAAAGGGACATAAAGAACGTCCAAAAGCGCTTTGCAAAGTGGCCAGAATGATGGAATAGTGTGTTCTACGTGACAGAGAGTGTTTTCACAGAGATTCATGGCTACATATGTGTCTTTTACTGTGATAATTAATTTAAACATTTATGGTATATTTTAGTTACTTCTTCTAATTCAGTAACTTCCAGGATGGAATGCATTCCCCTCTCTCCATTCTTTTCGGTATACATTCTATTTTCTTGACTCCAGGTGTTGAAACTTCTAAGAGAAATTTATACATCAAATGAAATCTTCATAGCCATAAACTGGATTAGAGGGTAGGACTTCTAGAGGGTAAAGGTTTTAAGATGATAGATACATAGATTAACTACTGTAAGAAAAAAAAGGGCAATAAATGAAAAGAAAGAAAAATTAAAGAACAGGAAAATAATAGACAAAAAAAGAGAAATGGAGAAAAAGATATAGGAAGCAGAAAGAGAGGTCTGGGGGAACCGTCCACAACTGCCTCTCCCCAGTTCTGGGGCTCAGTTTCTATTGAATATTCATTAACTAGAATAATTGTTTTTTTAAAAAAGCAGCCAAGTTAGCATGATCTCAAGGGTACATTTAAAACTACCACCTCCTTTACTAACCTTTTTTTTAAAATTAAGAAATTAGAATGTTCAAAAGAAAATCTAGGGCCTGGGGATGTAATTCAGTGGTAGCGTATCTGCTAAGCATGTGGGAAATTTTGGTCTCCAGTCCCCACCACTGATAAAAATAAATATTATAAAGCAAAGAAAGAGAAAGAAGATTCTTGAAAAAATAATAAATGCTCCAGTTTTTAAAATTTACCCTAGGAAACTCTCAGCATAATCTAAAATTCTAGGTTACATACAATTCCTATTGTTCCAGAAAAGATTTTTTTATCATCATAAAACAAGCCTATCACTATAAATGGAAACACTCTTGGACAAGCTTTCTACTGTATATATATTGAAGAGGAAGGCATATGTAGTAGGATATACTGCCAATTTATGCTAAAAACATAAATTAAACTGCCCCTTTAGGTATAAACCACATATGCCTTCTAAAAATAAATTAAGTGGTCTTGAGCAGTTTCGTATTTTAAGAATTTTTTTTATTTTAAGTGTTTTAAATAAAATATCCTTATGTAGGGGTTAAGAATGTAGCTCAGTGGCAGACTGCTTGCCTAGCATGTCTGAGAACAAGAGTTCAATTCCCAGCTCCACAAAAAACTGGTGTGTACATAAAACTAACAAATCATACCATACATCAATTTGACTGGAATCTGGTCAGTTTAACTGAATAAAATTCATTAAATTTAATTTAAACATCATGCCAATTTTACCCTTCTCAAAAAAAAAAAATGCACATGTACATGTAAGTACTCTCGTTCATCTGTTCTAGAACATTTTACCCCAGATTCAGTGGGAATTCAGAGACGTGCACACTCTCATCTTACCCTTGCCCTGCATGACCTCAGTGGAACATAAAGTATTTGGACAAAACAGAGAAGCAGGCCAATGATACATGCCACACAGTCTCTTTTCTTAGGAATCCTAAGAGTCATTTCTTTGAGAGATTAGAAATCAGAAAAATTGAACTTTTCTGACCAACTGTTGTTTTCAATCTCCTGGATATACTGAAGATGATATAGAATTGCTCATATTTCCTGTCTACTTTTAACATAAGAGATAAATTCCAAATTAAGTCTAAAAGTTGCAGATTTTTCTGAGATGCGTTTCACTGTGCTAGGCTCTCTGCTGCACTTAGCCATTTTATCCTAATCTATTCTGGTTTGATCCATTTTCCTTTGTGATTCTTATGCATAACATATAAATTTATAAGCTGTTTTTGCAAAAAAGGTAGGTTATTATATACTCAGCCAGCATGTAAATAAATTATTCAAGGTTTCTAAGGGAAAAATTTCAGCTCTGTTTCTACCAGATCCATACATGTGTATGTATGTGTGCATGTGTTTATACATATATACTTTTTTTTAATTTTTAGTGCTAGGGATTAAACACAGGGCCTTGCATACTAGGCAAGTACTCCATCACCGAACTTACATTACCTCACCCTGTCTATCTATCTACCTACCTATCTACCAATCTCTATATATTTTTTTTTCTTATTTTCTGTGTCTGGATTATCTTTCTAAAATCAGTCCTCTGGCAGGGCACATAGTTCTCCGTCCAACTTGTAATGGGCCTCAGATTTGATCCCTAGCACTAAAACCAATCATATTTGATATCTTGGCCATGCGCATTTTTGGTGAAAGATGAAGGACTTCCTTATCTGCAGATGACATGAGAATGAGCAAGTCCCTGTTCATATCTACAGACCTTGCTTTTCATGTCAACAAACTTGGTAACTCAAGTTAATTATCTCTTTTTGTGTTAATCAATTGGATGATCATTGGCACTTAGAATTTAAGCTCCTAAAATGGTCCAGGAAGTGTTTCAGCATACACAATAACTCTACCTCCAATCTTGCATTCATATATTGAGTAGATATTTTACATATTTAGGTTTTTGCAGTCAAAAATCTTCACTGATTCACACAAATACTTCATATTTAAATATGAAATATGTGCCAAAAGCTCTTGAAATGCTTAAAATCTATAGAAAGACAAGTATACATAAACTGATAAATTGTAATACATAAATAATTCAAATGATGTTGGTATAAATAGGATGTCACAAGACTCCAGAAAAGAAAACCATGAATGGATAGATACATGACACAAGAAAGTAAGAGAAAGAAACCAAGACCAAAGGAAAGATTTTCTTCTTATCTATTTTACAAACAACGGAAGAACAGAGCTAATTACTTCCTTACTTTCCAGCAGTCTTATCTTTCCACAAGGCAGCCCATAGACTTAAATATCAGTTTGTACACCTTAGACACCTTTGCAGAAGCAGTGTCAGTTGCACAGGAAGCCAAGAGGAAAGCAAAGAATTCGTAGAAATTTGCCGTCCTTCTACAACTCATTGGTGAGAAAGTGGCCTGAGATTTTATTGTGGCCTCAGCATTTCAAGTCCATACATAGAAAGCTCAATTATTTCATCACCACATGGAGGTAGAGCAAAAACTCTTCGATGGAAGGGATTATGGAAAAACTAAAGTGAGATACATCAGATAGGCCAAAGAGGCAAATACCACAAATCTCAAATATCTGGACATGTGAATTAGTAACCAATGTTTTGTGTAAAGTGAAGGGGAAAGGGGGAGAAATACATTCTCAGTTTTCTAAAATGAACCTGAAAGTCTTTCTCCTTCAATTAGAAAAAAAAGGGACGATACACTGCACTTAGTCGTTTGATCACTGTGTCACTATCCAATAATGTGTAGCTGTCAGTTAAGACCAGTATTAATAATTGCATTATCAGACTTCCCAGTTGATAAAAGACATTACAACCTCTGTGAATGTTTTATCTGCAACACTGATACTATCACTCTTGGAACTGAGTAGAAGAGAGAGAATGGCATGGCTCCTTGGCGTTGAGAATGGCCTCAGAAAAGTTTTTCCAAATGCATGCTGTGAGGTTATGACAACGAAAGTCCAAGAAACACCCTTCAATCCCTTTGGACAGAAGAATGCTTTGTGGCTGCTGTGCTGGATGCAGAATCCACTAAGTTGAATTACTTTCGACTCACCTCCATCATCCTCTTCAAGAATGCATATTTTAAAAAAAGACAAGTTATTGCATTAAAAATTATTTTATTCTAGCATTTTGCAAGCTACATCAAATCCAACTGTCATATTCAAACTAAAATTCGGATGACTGTTTTCAATCGACTCTTATTAAGTACTCTCGCAGTATATATGACCAATAACATAATATGTTTCATAATGTTTTAAAGTGCCCTAAATTTTAGCATGTGATATATAATATTTCAGTTAAAAAAAGTTGAGAAACACGTTGTAGGGAAGAAAAAACACCAAAATATCATCATAATCAATGATGCAAAGTTGTGCATAGGTTATAAACAATTGTTAAAAGGGCTCTTAATGAAATTCGTTAAATTCACTGCATCTACACCTGTGATCTTAATAAATTTTATAAATTAACATTTAATTTAAAAAATTTAATTAAAATCTTAATAAATTTTAACATAAATAATGTATATATAAATAGACCAATACATTTAGTTGTATGCTTTTTCTTTTAAAACTAAAAACACCTTAAAAAAATAAAAAAAATTAAAAAAAACTGAAAACACCTTTTACTCGTTTGCTTTATTTTCAGGTGCTACTAGATTGGAACTCCCTCATCTCTGAAGATCTTGAGGAACCAGATTAACTGCTCTCTCAGTGTTTTAATAAACAGAGTCCTGCATAGAACAAATGTTCTATATCCTAGCTCTCATTTTCTGTTCATTTCAAGCAGTACTTCTCACCAAGTAGTTACTGAGCAGTGTTTGAAAAGCACTAGACATTTAAAAAGGGACGCAAAGGGCCAAGATTATTAGGTCTTCATGGTGCACTGGTAGAAAACAGGAATAAACACGCTCAAAGACGGATTAGGCTCAGCAAATCTCTGACAAGATGGGTCTCTGCTGGCTTGAAACAGAACTTATAAGAAAAATAACAAAATAATCATAATAATAACAGGAAACAGTGAGCAAGGCACTGCATTCTACGTTTAATACTTTCCCATAAAATATTCAGAATAGCTCTATGATAGTATTCTTGTCACTATTCTATAGGTGACTAAATCGAGTAAATATTTAGGAAAGTTCCTAAAGTCATAATGTTGATAAGTGGTAGAACCCAATCACCATGCCACTAAGTGATTCTTTTTTTACTACAAGTGCGAATTAAGTTTCTAGTGACAATCTTTCTTTCAATAAGCCTAGTGAGGGTATGGCAGAGAGTCAAACTTCTTAACTGTATACGCACACTGACACTTACAAAAGTCTGCTGTGATGAGATCTGTGAACAATATTGATGCCCTTCTATCTACTCTTCATTTGTGTATCAGGAGTCGGTGATTATTTCTGACCAGTCCACCAAGAGAAAATTAACACTTTATGTGCCAAAATGAATTAAAAGCAAAAGATAAAGCAAACAAATTCCATAAAGCATTGTTACACCCAAAATGGTCCTCAATTCTGTATAACATTGCAAAATGTTTCCCTAGAAACAGGCTTGGAGATCATCAATTCTTCTGAGCTCCTACATATAAAGCCCATGCTAATCTCATGTAATCTTCCCATCCAATAGCAAAAAATACTTTAAGACAATAAAATGAACCAATAGAAAAACAAAAGGAAAACTTTTTATTGTAAAGAGAAAAAATAATGACACCAAATTTCAAAAGAAGATAGTAAGAGAGTAACAATGGTTAATACATTGCATATTATTATCTTCAAAGCAGTTGCTTATAAGACACAGGGATGAAAAATTGATCAAATATAGGCATACAAAAAAAATTTAAAGAAAAAAGATAACATCTGAATTTTATATATTTTTTTAAGTTATTTAAGCCTGATAGTTAATGAAAATTATATCCTGCTATCCTGGTTACTTCGGATGGTAAAGACAATGATTTAGAAACCCAAAAGAAATCAGTTAGGTGATAAGGACATTCAGAGAAAGTGCTCTCCAGGGCCATCTTAGCTAGGAGGTGGACATTCAGCTTTTAGTAATGGCTCCAGCTGGATGTTTGAAGCAGGGAACAATTACTGGAGAACTCCAGTATCCTGTCCCCCAACATTGTAACTCAGCAAACTCAAAAGTAAGGAATAAAACTCTTCATCTTCAAAAGACTCCCAGTGAGTACTGCATACAGACATTACGTTACACACTCCCAGAGCACCTGCTGTGCAAAGTCCTACCTGTCTCAGCATCCTTAGGCCTGCATTCTTCATCAGGAGGTCTTGACGGTGGCCACCCAGATGGGACTCGCCTGGGAAACTGGCCTTCTGTATAATCCAGGGTGTGTGGGGGTTGACTAACCGCAGCCCAGGTATAAAGCTGATCTTGCTAAATATGAAAATTAAAAATATATATGTGGTTAATTCAGTGTTAAGGAAAAAGACTGATAAATTGCAAAATCACTACTATGCAGAATCTAGATTACTGTCTGATGGGAGCCGTGGTCACTCCCACCAATGACTGGACCCTGCAGAGTAGAGATGGCATGTTCATTTACATGGGAATAAATCTTAGTTGGGCAATTTGCTTTATAAGATGCTATCAGCATCACCCTTGTTCCATTATCCATGAGCCCAGCAGATCCAGATTTAAGTGAGAAAAATGTGGCAGCCATATCCCAGCCACTCCAGGAGGTACATTCTGCCACCGCATAGCGAAAGTCTGCATAAGGGGGGAAGTATAAAGAAATTGTCTCGACATGCACGTTCTTTGATTTCTTCACGGGTGCTTTAAAATCGACCTGAAGACTGAATTAAGTAAAACCTGTCTCAGGCCAGCAGAGGGCTCTCCCTCTTGTCATACTGACTGAGCCAAGCTATGCTTGGCTGTGACCTCTGAGTCTGCTGGGTCCATTGAAGACAGCTAACAACACCCACCTTTTTAATAATGTCTTCTGTAGGAGACAACTCCGGTGTTAGAATTTCACAATTCTGCCTGAAGAATTCAAACAGATGGATGGCACTGGAGTGTGTGTGTGTGTGTGTGTGTGTGTGTGTGTGTTTTAATCTTAAGGACAACATGAATTGTGTTGATCAGAGTTGCTTTTTATACATTGTCTATCATAAAACTTGAAATAAGTACATGGCCTACCTGTCACATTTTGGGATTCCAGAATGTATGTTTTTCCTCTTTTTTCCTTTAACTTTTTCTCTGACAGTATAGTTTTGTTCCATTTGTTGTACCTGTTTTTTACTAACCTTTGGACTGTGTGTGACTAAAGACATTATCACAATTAGGGAAATTATATAAAGTCCATCTGTTTATTAATTGTAACTTTTTCAAATCACTTATAAGATGAAAGACTGGATAAAAAGTAGATTTACTGATGGTAAACTGAATTGAACTCACAATACTTTGGTTTACATTTATCATTTAATTATTGAAAGAATTAGGATGATTCTACAGAATTGTTTTGAGGTGACAGATAGGTATGGTAATAATTAACCAGAACCACAGCAACAAGCATCCACACTATATGTGATTTTCTAATTTTCGTCTATTTTCTGTAGCTATAATTATAGGTCACATGCTTTTGATATCACACAGATTTTTTTAAGTAACTGCATCATCTTCACACTGATATTTCTGCTTCAGTCTTCACACTCAACAGTACAACATCACTCAACATCACCATTTAAGAAGTTTTGGACAGAATACATACATGCAATCACCCAAAGCATCTCTAGCTCAGTTTAAGAGAATTCTAAAACTAGATGTAGATTTTAAAATGATAAATACAAAAGAATGATAAAATAATATCAGAAAAACAAATCCCAGGGTGAGCTGGAATCACTGAAATGCTTAAAGATAACATAAAGCAGAATGGGGATGTAGCTCAGCAGCACAGCGCCTGCCTGGCAAGTACAAGGTCATGAGTTCTATTACTGGTACCAAAAATAAATAAATAACTAAAGATAACAAAGTATTCTCTTGGTCATGTTCAGGAGAAGCACTAATATCACTAGCAAGGAGACTGCAAATTTTCTTGAGAGGAAGTTAGCATCAAAAGAATGTAAAAACTTATTCTTTGTGCCGGGTGTGGTGGCTCACACCTGTAATCCCAGCACTCGAGAGGGAGGCTGAGGTGGGAGGATCGTTGCACATTCAAGACCAACCTGGGTTACAAAGTGAGCTCACGGCCAGCCTGAACTGCATAGTGAGACCCCATCTCAAAAAAAAAAAAAAAAAAAAGATTCTTCTTGAGACAATTCTTACAGAACTTTTTCCCTAAGGAAAAATAAACAGTGATAAGCAAAACTATGCACATATTAGAATATATTTATTCCAGTGTATTCCTAAAGTATAGAATTTGAAAAAATTTAAATATGAATAAAAAGTAATAGCATGCATATATGGTAGGGTGATCAAAAGCTTTAAAATTACATCTCACTGGCAAAGCAAAATGGCAGTGAGGTAATCCAGTGATTCCATTCCCTCAAACACATCAGTCTGAACAGGTAACCTTACATCAAACCACCATCATCACAAAAGCAAAGAAAGTTGGGTTAGAGTCTACACTGCCTGACTTTGCTGCCATAAGAAAAGATGCAGTGAAGAGACACAAAGACATTCCTGCATCACTGCTCCCCAACTCCAAGCAGAGTAGGGGCACAGAGGAGGAGGTAAGTGCAGGCCTTGTACTTGAAACCCAGTACCAGGTCTGCCACAGTGACAGGCAGCACTTGGCAGAGCTCCACAACCCCTTCACGCAGACCAAGACGCAAAGATCACCCCAACTGAAAATAGGTTAGGTAGGCAGCTAAATGACTAGGTGACTTGAGTCTAAATATTCCCCAAAGGTAAGCTGATAAGTTTCTGGAAGGTAATTAATATGGAGGGCCCTATCTTCATGAAGTGGATTAATCCACTGATTGAGATCTTAATCTGATGATGCTGAGTAGTGGTTGGGCAGTGATAGGTAGTGTTTGTTGGGAGCAAGTGGACTATGGGGCTATGACCTTAGATATGACTACTGCTCAGTCTTTTCCTCTCTGAATTTTTTCCTTTCTCTCTGCTTCCTGGCTGCTGTGAGGTAAGGAGCTTTATTCTTCCATGCCCTTTGGCCATGGTGTTCTGTCTTATCTCAAGCCCAAAGCAATGGAACCAGCCAACCACGGACTAAAACTTCTCAGATGGGAGCCAAAATACAGCTTTCTTCTTCTAAATAGATATTTCCCAGTAGTTGGTCACTATGACAACCAGCTGACTACCACTGGAACTGTTTCCACCCACTTGTCCTCAAACTCAGGCAGCAGACTGAAGAGCAGGATTCCCCGCATTGCTAGCACAGGACTTCATCAGGGAGCTCATTACTGGGGCTTCTGCGTGAGACTTAGCATAGGCAGAAACCAAAGGCTTAGAAATGTAGGCAAGAGCCCACAGATGCAGTCTCTACATCTGCCCAGCATCAGATGAAGAACTGTACCCTAGGAGAACAGACTCAAGGTTTTCCCTGCATCACTGCCAGTCTTGGAGTGGACCTGGGCACACCCCACAACCACCTTGACTGCATAGGTCCCTGAGGCTTTGAAACTAAGATGTGACCCACTTTATCCCCAGCCTGGGTGGCCAAGGAGCTGTCTGCATCTTCCACCTCACCAGCACAGCTATCCCCATGCCACTGCTCAAGGAAGGAACCTTTAGACCTGCCCAGGCACCAAGCAGAGACCTGTACCTGCAGGGACAGACTTGTGTTTCAGGCCACCTCACTGCCAGCCTCACTGTGGGCCTGGGGTTTTCCCCTGATACTGCTCAGACTATGAGACTCGGATGCAAACTAACCCTGGTGGCCAAAGGCCTGTCATCAGCAATGTTACCCGAATTTTGGGCATCAGAGCATCCAGCAAAACCCCATTTGTTGAAGGTTTGAGCAAGACAGAAAGCACAGAACTCTGCTGCTTAGAATTCACTGCTGAGCTGGTGAAATCCAAAACTGAAAACCCGAAAGGCCTTCATCTCCGCAGCCTAGAGATACAGGAAGAAAGAACCAACATTGAATGAATTAATTCAGTGAATACTGACTTGAGCCTCAGTTGAGCAGCACCTGCGTACCCTGAGTGAGCCTCTGGGTTCAGTACTCAGCACCACACACAAGAGAGAGCACATGAATGCTGTCACTGTGAACACCATGAATGTCTGGAGGGATTTAATAGAGAAAAAGAATTAAAAGAATAGTATGTAAGTTGGCAGTGAAATTTTTAAGTTAAAGAATCTTAAGATTGTTTAGTTTGTCAGGAAACAGGTTTTAAAAAAAAGCCCCTAGAGGTAGAAAACTGACTGATGATTGCCTACCCTGGAAGTTTTAGAGGGAAAAGGGGGTGACTATTAATGACAGGGGCCCTCTGCACAGGATGATGAAAGTATCCTAAATGTGACTATGGTATTTGTTGAACCATGCTGTAAATATAGGAAAAATCACCGAACTGTACACTTTATATGATGAATGGTATGAAATATTCATTATATCTGAATAAAGAGATTATTAAAATAAAAAGGATATAACAGATTAATAGAACTTATTAGAACATTAAGCAGTATAGAATATACCCAGAATATAAGAATTACAAAATGCAGTAGATGTATACATATATTTGTGTTTAACCATATGTGCATATATGCTAGGTATTTGGTCATATATAACCTATCTGTATATGGCTTTCTATATGAGCACACTGAAAAATAATGAAAGAATTTGGAAGTAAGTGATATAGCAGGGAAAGAAAGAAGGCAGAATTGTATGTGCAAAAGATGTTCAAGTAGCAAAAGAAACCAAAATCAAAAGAAAAGCAAAATTTTGTGTTTTAAAATAGTCACTAAACCAGTGTAATGGAGGTGTGTGGCTTTAATCCCATCTACTCAGGAGGCTGAGGCAGGAGAATTACAAGGGAGTTTGAGGTTAGCCTGGATAGTATAGCAAAGCCCTTCTCTCAAAAAAAAAAAAAAATTAACAAAAGAGTTACTAAAAGAAGAATAAAATTATAAGTTTCAAACTACCTAGAGAGTAAAAGGAAACAGTAAAAAAAAAACCTACTTGATAAATAACAAAAGATAATGAGATAAAATACATAGTATAGTACTTTAAATCCAAATGTTAATTGTATTAAGTATAAATGGACTTAGCAATAGATCAAGAAATAAAAGACTGTCAGACCTGACAAAAACTGAAACCCATACCTATGTCTTTATAAGGCATACAACCTAAAATCAAGGACATATAAAAGATTGATATGAGGGAAAGGATTTAATATATGTTACACCAAAGAAATTAAGTATAGCTGTATTAACAAAAAGAAACTAAGATAAGAAAGCATATAAAGAAAGATAATAGA